GTCGTGGGGAGAGCAGCAGAAGGAAGGCCTTCAAGTTAAAACAGAAGAAAGTATCATGCAGTGGTACCTGCAGCTTCAGGATGCTGCTGAGCAATGTGTTGCTGCTTTCAGTGAAATTGGAAACTGCAAAGGCAACGCTGAGGTGAAGAAGATAAAAACAAACTTGCAGAAAGCAGCTACAATCCCTGTGAGCCAGATCTCCAGCATATCAGGCTCTAAGCTGAGAGAGGTGTTTGATAAGATCAATAACCTGCTCTCTGGGAAGCCTGTTCACTCTGAAGGCCAAATGGTGTTGGTGACTCAGCATCCACAGGGGCTGGACTTTGTTTCTTACAAACTTGCAGAGAAGTTTGTGAGACATGGGGAAGGAGAAGTAGCTTTTCACCACGATTCAGCTTTCCCAATTGCTGTGGTGCTCTCAGGAATCTGGGAATTACACCCTCGAGTTGGAGACATCTTTTTAGCTCACCTGCACAAGAAGTGCCCATATTCTGTGCCCTTTTACCCTACTCGGAAAGAAGGGACTTCTGTGGAAGAGTATCAGAGGCTGCTTGGATATGAAGTTCATGATTCTACAGTGGAAGAACAAGATCATTTTCTCAAAAGGATGTCAGGAATGATTCGTCTCTATGCTGCCATCATTCAGCTCCGGTGGCCTTACGGAAACAAACAAGGGGCTCATCCTCACGGTCTGAGCTATGGATGGCGCTGGCTGGCGCAGATGTTGAATCTGGAGCCTCTGGCAGATGTGACAGCTATGCTGCTCCTGGATTTCCTGGAAGTGTGTGGCAATGCTCTGATGAAGCAGTATGGGATTCAGTTCTGGAAAACAATGCTCTTTATCCAGAAATCCTATATCCCAAGAATTGAAGCTGTGTCCGGTTCTGGGCAGATGGGCTGTTTGTCACGCTTAAAGACTTTTGTGCAGAAATGTTTGCAGGTAGAGGAAATTCCATTACCAAAGGGCATTCCAACACCTTCCTTTTGGAGAACATAAATCAATCTGTATTTCCTTTCCCCTTAACATTTAATTCAAGCAGATTTATTTGTTACACTTGGAAGCTAATCTTTGCATTAGATCTTTGTAGGTTTTTGTATAGTAAATTACTGAAACTTCAAGATGTTTTCCTTCACATGTTTAATTGTGCAGGCTGGTAAGCTGGCTGAGGAGAAGCTTACCACACTCCTCTGGAGAGACACATCTTAAGCAACAACCTCCTGGCCATGGCGAGGAAAAATGCTCTCCCCAGAATGCTTTGTTGTCGTGTCTTGATTCTGTGTATCCCATTGACCCTTCCCCTTTGTTCCACCCCTGTGCCCTCATCTCATTTGTTCTGATGTTCTGCCCCGCTCCTCACTGTCCCTCGATAAACCCCAGCTCTCACTGCCTGGGAGATTTCTCCATCTCTGGATCCCTTTGAGGTAGGAGATCAATAAAGACCTCTGTGGAACCCCATAGGAATGCTCCATCTTTTCCTTCCATGTTGGTCATGGCTGAAATCAAAAAAGAGCTGAAATCTCCCAGTGAGAGCGAGACGTGTCTGTGCACCCAGGGTGCTTTTTAAAGTCGCTTCTCTGGGAAGGTCGCAGCACTCTGCCACCTCTGCCTGCCACGAGAAGTGGTGCCCAAACAGGGACCCCCACTTAGGGGCTGCCTGGAGAAGC